CGCAGTTGAATGCATGTGCATCGATCGTTGAAGGTTCGTTGAATCGAAAGTTGAAGCGCTGCCGTGCGCGAAATCTGTACGTTGCCTTATTTAAGTGGGCATGCGAAAACAACTGGTAGGAAACGAGTTATATGAACAAAATGATACAGTATTGTCGCTGGCTCGCTTCAGCAACTGGTGAAGAACGAGTTTGGCACCTCGCCAGATTAATACCGCTTAACGCGCCCCTTCGTCCTTAGAGAACTACACTATACCTACTTCACTGTAGGTAATATTCAAGCTTGAATGGCGCCAATAATGTGACATCGAATTTCAGTGGTTTTCTCGAAGGACTCAAAATGTACTACACCAGTGAAAGCTCGATTCGTGGAAAGGAGGATTTAGTGAGTCACTACTCTAATCAGCATCCTTGACAGTTTCGTGAATGACGAGTTCAACGCAAGTGCCACCTTCAGCAGCGCTTCCTTACCCTCTCTCTCTCTCTCTCTCTCTCTTTTGGCTGTAGACATTCTTATCGGACGCGCGATACTTGTTCCGAACTAAAAGATCTAACCTAACCATAAGCTACATTGACTTACGTGAAATATCTGCATGAATTCCCATGCTAGCTGATCATTTTCGCGTCAAAAGGTGAGATTCTGGTGCGGATGCTGGGCAACGCTGCTTTCGCCCTCGGGTATAATAGCGGGCTCTCCGCTAGCAGTTGAAAACGACTGGTGCTTAGGCAGCGTTCATACTTCGCGACAGCAGCGGCGCACGGCGATCGCCGAGGTCGCCGCGATCGCCGCGATCGCCGCTGCTGTCGCGAAGTATGAACGCTGGTTTATGTAGACTCTTGCTTCTCCTAGGAATCAGCAAAGAATAAGAAAGCATTTGTCACAGGTTGATGTGTGATCGCAGCACTCGCGCGTGCCGTGAACACTACGGGACCTATTTTTCGAGTCACGAACATTCTACGGGAGGGATAAAACTGTAGAACGAGCTTTCACTGAAGAGACAACCCTTCTCAAGGAGCAGACAGTTACATTTCTACAGCTTCCTGACCATGGTGTGTATCGATCGCTTACAGAATGCTATCAAAATCGAATTTGGAGACAAGAAAACGCTGGGCAGTTTATCGAGTGGTCGTGGTGTCTTGAATTTTGTGGTAGCTAAGCCCGCGGTGTATACGTGTTCAAGAATGAATAGTAGAAACCACACGATCTCGATTGATGTGCTCCCAGACGAATTTCATAACGTTTAACTACCGTCATTATTTCCTGTGTTACTCACGAACTGCTGGCTGTTGTTCGATTAATAAATGTGTTCGCTTCAAAAATCTGCGAATCAAAATCTGTGAGAAATATAATATGGACAAGAACTTTAAAATTTCCATAACTGATTTTGGCTGCGTAGGAGCACGGTCGAAGCACGCGGGCCCGCTAACTGACCCACCATTCTGTATATTCGTGGGACGCGCTTTATAGCTACTGTAAATCTACACAATCTGTTCTCTGGCTTATCGAAATAATCAGATAATCAGTAAAAAATGTGCTTTATCACATAAACAAAGTTAAATGAGGCCGGCGCTTTACTTGAACTCAACAAGAGTTTGATAATTTAGCTTTACTGGCCCTGGCTTGATTGATTCAAAAAATCGGGCTGTGTTAGCGGCTCTTGAAGGTACGAGTCCACGATTAGGTATAGAAGTTGAAGACATGGCGGCGGGAGGGCAGAGTGCTGTCCGCGTTATAACACTCGTACAGGTTTTTCGCTGCCAAAAAGTTGTAATAGAGGGTGCTATTAGCGCAGAACAGGTCACCTCAGAACAGGTTCAGGTGACGCCTCTTTTTTCCAGTGACTCCGCCTCCAGCTCCGCCTACAGCTTCCGGCCTACAAGGCCCACCTTTCATTGAAAAACGAGGCTGCGGGACGAAAAAGCATGAAAATCGTCACTTGTACGGTTGTAGAGTTCTTATTGGGGAATCAGCTGTGCGGATGGAGGCGTGATGTTAGATGAAGCTAATTGGACATCTACAAATCGAAATGGGTTCTTTTAGGGCAGTTGGGCATGTTTTTCGTTATTATCGACTTATCAGAATCTGTTGTCTATACGCGAACCTCTTAATCCACTATCTGTGATGGTGAATGATCGCGGGTTTTGCCTTTAAGAAGACGATTACGCCGAAATGATTACAAATGCAGAGGTGTATGGAAAGCTGCACATGACGACGCTTGGGATTTTCCTTTTTCTTCGTGGGCAGAACTGACAGAGGCGCGGCGCATTAAACCCTAACTACCGAATTTCGCTCTGAAAAATTATTCCAAGGAGTTTTGACCTCGCTTCGACACGAATTACCACATCTGTGTAGGAGTTGAGAACGTTTAGAATGGTGTGAAGGGCGCGCATGGATAGTGCATACCTGCTTCTGCTCACTTGCACCCTTCCCCGTGATAGTGGTCCCTTCCTTCGCCAATGCTGAACCCTAGTAAAAGGAAGGATCACTATCAAAGGCCACCAGGAATACGCTGCTTTTCCACTATGCCGTCTGGACGCGCCGAGTTTTGGCTGCTGGCTCACTTATAAAGCGCCTAGATTACCAAATCCGCTGAACACTCGTATACAAGACTTATTCACACATCTGATTAGGAATATGACATCATTCTTTGGCACGCTTGGTGTACATGGGAGGACACTACGATTGTCTTCTAGGCTCAGGCTTAGCAGAGCGCAGATAATAGCAGTGTCCTCCATTAGTGCCAGCACCAACTGTGAATGTCATATTCGTAATCAGGATGTTAAAACCTTTAAAGGTTTTTGGTGACCTAGTCAGGCTTTGGTGTCTAGGCACTCCATAAATGGGCCAGGAGCCAAAACTCAGAACTCTAAACGGCATCGGCCTGCGTTTCTTCACCATTTCCCTTAACTGCCCTAGCACACCGCTTTGTTCAAAAGCAACTGGAGTCTGCTACACGCGCCGAAGTCGAAGCAAGCATGCGATGAAGAGCTTTGTGACGTCAATGCCGTCAATGCGGTTTGCCTAACGGACGTTATATCAATTCAGAAGGTCATCTACCACCTATTTCGTAAACATTTTCAGCCTATTTGCTGATTCAGCTTATTTGCTGATTTTTCGGAGTATTTTGGCGTCAACTCGCCTGTGGCGCGGGTTACCGCAGATTTCGGCAGCAGGTTGTGATATTCGTGCCTCAGAAGGTCGAACTACTGCAGGAGACAACACACGGGCCAATTCTGTCCACGAAGAAAAACGTCTTTCAAAATCTGGCTCGATTTCGAACGACTGGGCAGAATAGTGCCCTCCTAGGAAATTAAAGCAATGTGAAGTAAGACAAACGCGAATTCATTGTGATATGCTTCACAGGAATAAGATATTATCAAAATTCACAGTTATGCAATTCGAAAAATATTCAACCATTCCTAGTGCATAAATACTGATTGAAGTTGACATACTACAGAAGGCAACAGACTAAAAGGATTTCCAGTTATGGCTCAATCACTTTCACACATAAGCCGACCCTACTAAGGTAAGCGAGTAACTCAGCTCAACTATGGAACAAGCACTTCTTATCCAGTAAAGGCACAGTTTCTACGGTAAAACTATCAATAGAACAGATGGACTGAAAGCCTTAGATATTGCGAGACCTTCAGAATAAGTGTTTAGAGCTAAACGTTTCGTTCAACCAGCCTTCCTTCGTGGAACATAAATGGTGTCATTCCTGGTGGCCCAAAGTTCGGAGGTACAGCTGAAGGTGGCCTTGGTATGTGCTTTGTGGTCCTTGGTGGGAGAGTCGTTGGAGGCGTTGGTCCAATTGGCCTTTCATTAGTTCGTTGGAATGGAATGTTCTGTTGATTATTCGGAGAAATTGAAGGAGGAGACCTATTTAACGGCATGATCGAAGGCGGAGAGCGGTTCAGAAACCTGCTCGGTGGAGTCAATGGGGGTGATGGAGGCCCGGCAGGACCTGAAAAACGTTTGGAAGCAGTCGTCCATTTACTATGATACAAGCTGTAATTAAATAGTTTACTGAAAAGCTGAGGAGACTTTGCCCTCTGAATACGGACCTCTAGCGTCCTTCTGAAAGCCAGTGTTCGTACTTCGTGGGAGAAATATCGGTGGTGCAAATGATCCTCGCCTTCTTGACAAATCAGCTTAACAGTATGATTTTTTCCAAGGACGATAAAGTAAAGATGAACCCGAAAAGGTATTAGCAAGCATAACTGCCGTAATAGAGCAATTAAAATGGGAGGGTTAGATATTGTTGGGTCAATAAGAGCTTCCAACCTAGTTGCATCTGTGTTCCTAGCTTCGTCATGGCAGCCTTCGTAATCGAACGTGTTCTGGACTTCTGCTGCTTCTGTGGAGGAGCTTCTAAATTCCATTGAGAACATCACTAAGGAGGTTACTGAACTGACTTTTCATCAAGCGAACTCCTCTATGCTGTTAGTGAACTTAGTGATGCGATGCTCAATCGTATATTCCTTGCTGAAAGGCAATTGACACGATAAATTCTTAATACGAGTAGAACTAATACGCCTGCCAAGAAGGAATTTCGCGCCCCTGAGCAGGCGCTGCGTAGCACCCTTTCAAGGAAGCGTGGTGCATACCAGCGCCTGGGCCCATCAAGCTGCAACATACCGACCCGAACGCCCACCGCGCCCGTTCCGCCCACAAATGGACGACCGTACCCGATGCTCGTATTAATTCATTTGCTAAGGAGAGCATGAAGGGATCGATATGAAGCGGCAGCGATGCTGCATGGATATATGAGTACATATGTGCAGCCGTATCTACCGTAGCGGTTATTGGCAAGATGCCTACGGGAAACTCGTCCGAAATTGCTTTTTGAGTCATTAAGAACGAAGGCTTTTTTGCAGGTTTTTGACCGTTTCACTTCGTTTTTCGCCATTTTACCACTATATAGCTTCCCTGCTAGTGTTTTAGAGCGAGTGCCAAATTGTCGTGCCATATGCCTTTAATGAATGAGAACGCAACTCAACAGGTTGCAAGAATGGTATGATTCATGCTGATGAAGGAAAAGTTTATTACCTTCTCCCTAGAAATTGCTGTGCAGTTCGGCTCGGGAAGGAGGAGGGCATTTCGCTGATCGTATCAGCGAGTGCCGGCGTATCTGTGGAAACCTGCCGATTTCTGTATAGTTATGCAAAAGCATAAGCTTTGTTCCTACTTGGCAGGAGTCTACAGATTTCCCCATGATGAGACGTATTTATCGATCAGAACTAGTCCGAGGAACTAACGAAATTGCAAAGTCAAGCCTCATAAACCGAACACCATCGAGATCGCTTCAGCCAGAGTTTGCCAGCATTCACAAAAGCAACGGACAGAGCACAGCTTATGGTTGTTCCACAAATAGCGCACTAATTGGCAAACAGGAGTGGTTCTGCAGCGAGCAGTACTCATGACAACAAAAATCCGTTGACCTTGAGACCAAATGTACAGGGGGGGGCAAAAAAAGTCATTTCGGCCGAGCCACATATCAACGAAGTTTTCGCAGCCCAGACAGGGGAAGTGGATATGAGTACCAGAGTGGAAGATACCCAAGATCTTCCTCTATAAGCTGGAGCAGGCTGCCGCCAATCGCCTTCATGTACGCCAAAATATGAAGTCATCTCCAGTCGCGGCCTGACTGGAGAACACCTTTGGAATTCACGTCGCCTCCAAACAGCTGCGAAACTTCTTGA